TATATATAATAGTATATAATAATAGTATTGCATAGTTGCTCCAGCAGCTGCAGCAGCTGCAGCAGCTGCAGCAGCAGCAGCAGCAGCAGCAGCAGCAGCAGCAGCAGCAGCAGCAAAAGGAATAAATAAAATAAAATATATTTTATTTATTTTTTTTTTTATTTAGAAAAATAAATATATTTTATTTTTCTAATTAGTAGTAACATTGTGACTTTATTTATTTATTTATTTATTTATTTAATTTGTCTATTTATTTATTTATTTATTTTATTTATTTAATTTATTTATTTGCTTATTTATTTATTTATTTATTTATTTATTTATTTAATTTATTTATTTATTTACTTTTTTATTTATTTTTTATTTATAGATAATGTCTTCCTAATGGTAGAGAGAAAAGGAAATTAACCATAACAATTCTTAGGTCATCATAAACCCTAAACCCTAAACCCTAAACCCTAAACCCTAAACACTAAACCCTAAACCCTTGATAGAAGTTATTAGATATAATGTTAACTTTTTTATTGTTTATATTTATTTTAGATTTATCTCTCAACTTACAAACAACAATTAAATGTAAAAATGTACAAAAAAACGTACAAAATGTACAATAACGTACAAAATATGTTAAAACGTAAAAACGTACAAAAAACGTAAAAACGTAGTTTTAAACGTAAAAACGTACAAAAAAACGTAAAAACGTACAAAAAACATACAAACGTGGGTAGAAGTGTAGAAACGTACAAAAAGGTACAAAAACGTACAAAAAGGTACAAAAAGGTACAAAAACGTACAAAAAACGTAAAAATGTACAAAAACGTACAAACGTACAAAAAACGTAAAAACGTACAAAAACGTAAAAAAACGTACAATGCATAGAAAACGCAAATAAAGGTACATTAGCTATTATTGAATTTTCGATACCTTTATTGTATATAGTAGGGTTTAGGGTTTAGGGTTTAGGGTTTAGTTATTAGGGTTTAGGGTTTAGGGTTTATGTGTCTTTATATAATAAAGGAGACAACAGGAAGAAGAGACAATCTGTCATAAAGACAAGAGAATAAATATTTAATTTATTATTTATTTATTTAATTATATAAATAAATATAAATATTTTATTTATTTATTTACTATTTAATTTTAATTCTATTTATTTATATAAATTAATAAAAAAAAAAGAAATATTTCTTTATTTCTTATGCACTGCAGCAGCAGCAGCAGCACGAGCAGCACGAGCAGCAGCACAGCGATGCACAGGTTGATTTGCTGCTGCTGCTGCTGCTGCTCTCCTTTATCTATTGTTTAATATATTAATATTATAATTAAATAAAATATATATATTTTATTTTGTCTTTTTTATTGTATATTAATAAAAGAATATAATTAAGAAGTTGCTATCGGTGCTGCTGCTGCTGCTCGTTGCTGCTGCTGCTGCTGCTGCTGCTGTGCCGGCCGATACGATCTCACCCCCCAGCTGCAAATTGTCCTTCTTTCCTTTTTTCTACTCTTTCCCCTCCTTTTCCCTCTCCCTTTTATTATTTTATTATTATTAATTAATAATATTAATTAATTAACTCTTTTTTGCTGCTGCTGCTGCTGTCTTTGCAGTTTCCTTCCGTACTCGTAGAAGGCGGTGGTAATACACACTCGTGTTGCTGCATTTGCTGCTGTTGCTGCTGCTGCTGCTGCTGCTCTTTTCGGTGTATGCCTTACACCTTTTTAAGATATTAACAAGTAGCAGCAGCAGGAGCTGCAGCAGCAGCAGCAGCAGGAGCTGCAGCAGCAGCAGCAGCAGGAGCTGCAGCAGCAGCAGCAGCTTGCCTTTTTCCCCAGACACTTTCTTTTTTTCAATTCGTGCAACTCATCAGCAGCAACAGCAGCAAAAGCAGCAGCAGCAGCAACAACAATAACACAAGCAACAGCATCAGCAGCAGCATAAGCAACTGCAGCAGCAGCAGCAGCAGCAGCAGCAGCAGCAGCAACAGTATATGTCCTAAAATGGGGAAAGAAGATCAATGAGTTATGCTTGTTATCGGGATCGGGATCGGGATCGGGATCGACTGCAGCAGCAAAATAATAAAAAGTTTTTTGTTGCAGATATAATAAGCAGCAGCCCTTCTTTCTCTCCTTCCTTCCTTCCTTCCTGCATGCATGCATGCATGCATTCATGCATGCATTTAGTCTCTTTTTTCTTTTCTTATAAGAAGAAATAATGCCTATATTCAGCAAAAAGATTTGCCTGTGGGGTCTGCTGCTCTGCATTGCATGCGCTGCAGCAACTGCAGCAGCAGCAGCAGCAGGAGCAGCAGGAATCCCCAATAAAGAAAGAAAATGGTTGCAGCAGCAACAGCAGCAAAAACACTTGCTGCCTACTAGATTATCTTTCCTTATTGTTTCTTTTGCTGCTATTGTTGTTTCTTTTTTGTTATTAATGTGCATGCATGCATTATCTTCTTATTATAGTATAAATAAGATAGTAAGAAGAAGATTAGCAACAAAAGGAAAGAAAAAGAATAAAGTTTATGAGTGTACTGCTGATGATTATTATGCAGAACAAGAAGAATATACCGATGCTGCTGCTGCTGCTGCTGCTGCGGTGGCAGACCAACTGCAACAGCAGCTGCAGCAGCAGCAGCAGCAGCAGCAGCAGCAGCAGCAGCAGGAACCAGAGACACGGCGAAAGGGGAAATGGAGTTTGCTGAAGCGGCTGCTGAATCTGGGGAAAGCAGAGGGGAATCAGCAACGGCAGCAGCAGCAACAACAGCAGCAAGAGCAGCAGCAGCAACAACAGCAGCAAGAGCAGCAGCAGCAGCAGCAACAGCAACAGCAACAGCAACAGAAAGAGCAAGAGGAGCAGCAGCGTGAAGAGCAGAAGCATAAGGGGCGGACAGGGAAGACGCGGCGGTCAGCGCAACACTTGGTGCAGCAACATCGTCAGCAGCAACAGCAACAGCAGCAACAGCAGCAACAGCAACAGCAGCAAGAACCAGAGGAGCAACAGCAACAACAGCAGCAGCAACCCAGGACGCAGCAGGGTAGACAGCGTGGGGAGGATCTGCAGTATGCACAGCAGCAACAGCAGCCAACACAGCTCCAAGCGCTGCAGCTGTTGGAGGAACTTATTCAGCAGCAGCAGCAGCAGCAGCAACAGCAGCAGCAGCAGCAGCAGCAGCAGCAGCCGCTGCAGCAGCAGCAGTTAGAGCGTCTGGAGGAGATGCGGACTCGGCACACCAATATGCTGATTAGGTTGCTTGCCTACAATAAGGGTAAGGATAGCCGCATAAGTATACAGCGCAGCAGCTAGGGCAGCAACTGGTGCAGCAACAGCAGCAGCAACAGCAACAGCAACGGCTGCAGCAACAGCAACAGTAACAGCAATAGCAATAGCAACAGCAACAATAAGGGGAACAGCAGTTGCTGCAGCAACAGCAACAGCAACAGCAACAGCAACAGAAACTGCTGCAGCAACATTTGTGGCAGGAGATGGGACAGAACCAGCAGCAGCTGCTGCAGCTACAGCAAAAAAAACAGCAGCAGCTGCTGCTGCAGCAGCTGCTGCAGCAACCATCCCGACACACGACAAGTGGCTGAGGGCCCCAACAGACTAAACCCTCTAAACCCTAAACCCTAACCTTCTATGGCTATGCATAGTGTATAATAATAGTAGGGCATAGTTGCTGCAGCAGCAGCAGCAGCAGCAGCAGCAACAGCAGCAGCATTAGCAGAGCGATGGACACATCGATTATACATTTGCTGCTGCTGCTGCTGCTGCTGCACTTCTTTTTCTTCTTTTTTTTATATATTAATATTATAATTAAATAAAATATATATTTATTTTATTTGTTTTATTAATTTATATTAGTAAACGAATAACAATAACAAGTTGCTGCTCGCTGCTGCTGCTGCTGCTGCTGCTCGCTGCTGCTGCTTGCTGCTGCTGCTGCTGCTGCTACACTGCTTGGCGCTGTGTCTGTCGATCCGATGTCACCCCCCAGTTGCAGCAGCAGAAGCAAATTGTTTTTCTTTGCTCTTTTCTATTCTTTTCCCTCCTTTTTCTCCCTCCCTTTTATTATTTTATTATTATTAATTAATAATATTAATTAATTAACTCCTTTTTGCTGCTGCTGCTGCTGTCTTTGCAGTTTCCGCCCGTACTGTACTCGTAGAAGGCGGTGGTTTATTTGTGCATACTCGTGCTGCTGCACTTGCTGCTGTTGCTGCTGCTGCTGCTGCTCTTTTCGGTGTATGTCTTACACCTTTTTAAGATATTAACAAGCAGCAGCAGCAGGAGCAGCAGCAGCAGCAGCAGCAGCAGCAGCTTGCCTTTTTCCTCAGACACTTGCTTTTTGAGGATTTTCTATTCGTGCAACTCATCAGCAGCAACAGCAGCAAAAGCAGCAGCAGCAGCAACAACAATAACACAAGAAACAACAACAACAGCAGCAGCATAAGCAGCTGCAGCAGCAGCAGCAGCAGCAGCAGCAGCATTATATTTCCTATCAAGGATCAATGTGTTAAGACTGTGATCGGGATCGGGATCGGGATCGGGATCGGGATCGACTGCAGCAGCAGAATAAAATTTCTGCTGCTGCACCAAATTACGCATTATATATAAAGTTTTTTGCTGCTGATCTAATAGACAGCAGCCCTTCTTTCCCTCCTTCCTTCCTGCATGCATGCATGCATGCATGCATTTTGTCTGTTTTTTTCTTCTCCTATAAGGAAAAATAATGCCTCTATTCAGTAAAAAGATTTGCTTGTGGGGTCTGCTGCCCTGCATTGCATGTCTTGCAGCAACTGCAGCAGCAGCAGCAGAATCTGCAGCAGCAGCAGCAGAATCTGCAGCAGCAGTTGCTGCAGGGGATTATGCTGCTTCTTCGTTGCATGCACCCCTTAATTCTATGCATGCAGGGGGCCCCAATCAAGGAGGAGAATGGATGAAGGAACAGCAGCAGCAGCTGCAGCAGCAACTTCAGCAGCTGCAGCAGCAGCAAAAGCGACTGCAGCTATCTAGAGCCTCGTTCCTTTTTGTTTCTTTTGCTGCTCTTGTTGTTTCTTTCTTATTATTGAGGTGTATGCATGCATTATCTTCTTATAATAAAATAAATACAATAGTAAGAAGAAGATTAGCAAAAAGAGGAAAGAAAAAGGGTAAGGTTGATGATTGTGCTGCTGCTGTTGATGCAGCAGAAGAAGACAATGGTGCTGCTGCTGCTGCTGCGGCGACAGCGGAGGCACAGCAAAACCAGCAGCAGCAGCAGCAGCAGCAGCAGCAGCAGCAAAAGGAACCGAAGAAAAAGGACAAAAAAGCATTGCACCGTTTCCTAGAGAAGGTGCAGAAGATGGTAAGAACAAGGGAGGGGCAGCAGCAGCAAGAGGGACAAGAGGAACAAGAGGAACAAGAAGGACAAAAGGGACAAGAGGCACAAGAGGGACAAGAAGGACAAGAGGGACCAGAGGGGCAAGAGGGGTACGAGCTGGACCAGCTGCTGCAGCAGCTGCAGCAGGAACAGCAGCAGCTGCAGCGGCAAATGGAACAGGAAAAGCAGCAGAAGCAGCCGAAACAGCAACAGGAACAGCAGCAGCAGCAGCAGCAGCAGCAGCAGCTGGGGTCACCGAAAAAGCGGCAGTCAGAGCAGAAGTTGGTGGGGAAACCTGGTCAGCAGCAACAGCAAGAAGAGCAGCAGGGACAGCAGCATCCGCCGCTGCCCCAGCAGCAGACGGTGCCACAGCAGCAGAGGCTGCAACACCAGCAGATGCTGCAACAGCAGCACCTGATGCTGCCACAGCAGGTGCTGCTGCCACAGCCGCAGCTCGTGCCTGTACAGCTGCGGCTGCCACAGCAGCACGTGGTGCTGCCACAGCAGCACCTGTTGGTGCCACAGCAGCACCTAGTGGTGCCACAGCAGCAGCTAGTGGTGCCACAGCAGCTGCTGGTGCCACACCCGTACCTGCGGCCACGGGATCAGGAGTTAGTTCATTTACTGTCTACTTCTATCCCCACACACTCGGGGCAGGGTATAGGCCAATGGGTTATAGTCAGCAGCAGCAGCAGCAGCAGCAGCCCAAGAAGCGGCAGAAGGAAGCGGTTCTCTCCACCAGGTGGTACCCCAAAGGGCAGCAGGAGCAGCAGCGCCAGCAGCATGTCTCCACTTGGTGCTGCTGCAGAAGGCAGCAGCAGCAAGTTGTCTCCTTCTGGTGCTGCTACAGAAGGCAGCAGCAGCAGCAGCAGCAAGTTGTCTCCATCTGGTGCTCCTACAGAAGGCAGCAGCAGCAGCAGCAGCAAGTTGTCTCCATCTGGTGCTCCTACAGAAGGCAGCAGCAGCAGCAGCAGCAAGTTGTCTCCATCTAGTGCTGCTACGGAAGGCAGCAGCAGCAGCAGCAGCAAGTTGTCTCCACCTGGTGCGGCTGCAGAAGGCAGCAGCAGCAGCAGCAAGTTGTCTCCAACTGGTGCGGCTACAGAAGGCAGCAGCAGCAGCAGCAAGTCTTCTCCACCTGGTGCTGCTGCAGAAGGCAGCAGCAGCAGCAGCAGCAGCATGCCACCTACAGAAGGCAGCAGCAAGAGCAGCAAGTGGTTCGCTCCATCTGCTGCTGCTGCAGAAGTCAGCAGCAGCAGCAGCAGCTTCTTCTCACCACCTGATGGAAGCAGCAGCAGCAGAAGCCCCTGGTTCTCTGCATTCTGGGCTGTCCCGGAAGTCAGCAGCAGCAGCAGCAGCAGCAGCAGCAGCAGAAGCAGTTGGTGGGCTGGTACGCCTGCAGCTACTCCAGAAAGCAGCAGCAGCAGCAGAAGCAGCAGGTGGTTCGGTACGCCTCTTTCTGCTAAAGAGGGCAGCAGCAGCAGCAGCAGCAGCAGCAGCAGCAGGGCAGCTACACCTGAATATGATCCGATCGAGAGCAGGTTGTCTCCATACGGTGTTCTTACAGGAGCAATCAGCAGCAGCAGCAGCAGCAGCAGCAGCAGCAGCACGGCGGCTGCATTTGATGCTGCTCCTGGAGGCAGCACGAGAAGCGGCAGCAGCAGCAAGGACCCTCCATCTGATGCTGCTGCAGGGGAGAGCAGCAGCAGCAGTAGCAGCTACTCGGTCACTATACCTGAGCCTGCGCCTGAAGGCAGCAGCAGCAGCAGCAGCAGCACCCAAAGGACCTTCTGGTCCCCTCTACCTTTTGTTAATGCAGGAGACAGCAGCAGCAGCAGCGAGCTCCCTACACCTAGTGCTGATCAAGAAGGCAGCAGCAGCAGCGGGTTCCCTACACCTAGTGCTGATCAAGAAGGCAGCAGCAGCAGCAGCAGCAGCAGCAGCAGCAGCAGCAAGTATCCTCCCTACAGTTTGTTTGAAGGCAGTCTATCACTTGCAGATGCAATACTATCCTCGTCGCCTCCTGCACCTGCTGCTGCACCTGCTGCTGCACCTGCTGCTGCACCTGCTGCTGCACCTGCTGCTGCACCTGCTGCTGCTGAGCCTGCAGCAGCTGAATCCGCTGCAGCTGAACCTGCTGCAGCTGAACCTGCTGCTGGTGCGCCTGCTGCTGATGATGCACCTGCTGCAGATGCACCTGCTGCTGCTGCTGCTGCTCAAGAGGAAAAGAAGCAGACAGGGCCCGATAGGGAGGGACGACTGCCAAAGAGCAGACGCAAAAGAACTTGAACAACATTTGCTGCTGCTGCTGCTCCTGCAGCAGCAAAAGCAGCACCAGCTGAAGCAGAAGCAGCACAGCAGCAGCTCCTGCAGCAGCTGCAGCAGCTGCAGCAGAAGCAGCAGCAACCCAGCAGCAGCTGAAGCCAGCAGCAGCTGAAGGAGGAGATGGGGGAGAAGAAAGGAGGAAACAGAGAAGAGGAAAAGACGAGAAAAGAGACAAAAGGAGAAAGGAGATAAAGAAGAAGACAAGTATTAACAGCAGCAGCAGCAGCAGCAGCAGCAGCAACAGCAGCTTGCTGCATTTTTCTTTCCCCTTTTTATTTCCATGCTTGTTGTTCATCAGACAATTAATATATTATTGTTTGTTTCTTGTCTTCGTAGCTAGCTAGGTAGCTAGCTAGCTGGCTGGCTAGCATGTTGGCTAGCTAGCTAGCTGGCAAGCTAGCTAGCTAGCTATGAGCGGGACGGGCTCACCAGCTGCAGCAACAGCAGCAGCAAAAACAGCAAATGCAGCAGCAGCAGCAACAACAACAACAGCAGACTTGTCTTGTAGCCACATTTGTTTGGACAACACAATGAATAAATAAATAAATAAATAAATAATTTATTTATTTATTTATTTATTTGTTTATAATTAATTAATTAACTAATTAATTAATTAATTAATTAATTAATTAATTAAACAATGCTGTATATAATATATTAATTATATTATTATTTATTATTTATTATTATTGTTTGTTTAATATATTTTATTATTATATATATTTTTATATATAATTTATTATTATATTTATTATTATTATTTATTATATTTATTATTATTATTTATTATATTTATTATTATTATTTAT